TAATAATTAATTATTTTTTTAGAACTCGATAATTATCCTAATTATATTTTAGATTTTTTATATTTTAAAATGAGATGTTTATCCTCTATTTGATCATGTTTATCCGCAGTTAGTACACGAATTCAAAAAATAAGCTTTAATAAGTTGTACTTACGCACAATTTTACTTATAATATTGAATTTTAAGTAATATAGATCAATAAACAGTATTTCATGCATAAAAAATAGTTTCAATAGTTTTTGTCAAATACTTTATAATATAGTATAAATATGTTGAATATATTGGTGTAAACAGTAAATCTTCTCCAATAAGTAATATCAAATCTTATATCGAAATGTAAGATTTCAGATATATTTCTTTTTATGTTATTCAATCGATGTAATCTTTGGTGTAAATAACCACTATTACACCAAATTCAGTATGCTGCTATTACTACACCAGATTTTGCTCTAAAATTCAGTGTATGCGTTGGAATAATCTGATATTTGGTGTAAGATTTACTGGTCGAAGCAAACTTCAAAATTGTCACTCCTCGAATATGCATTTTTAAATAAGAAAACAGTTTGTTAAAATCTTATATAAATCATTACAACAGAAAGAAATATGTTTTTTGGGTAACGATGGGTTTTCGGGCTAATTTAGATTAATCCCCGGGACGACTACGAGTGGAATCATCACAGATAAACCTCCATGATAACAAGTATTTTGGCAGTGCTTGAATTCGAATTTGGGTAGGAACGATGTTTTGACTAAATGTAGATGTGGCAAATTAAGCGGTTCGACGTTGGTTAGGTAATGGGCTGAACTGATAATTCTTCAATACGGGTCAAAACAAGTTGCATTACCGTAAACCTGTTGGTCGGGTTATATTTCACACCTCTAGACTAATGAAATTGGGCCGAAAAGCAAGTATACAATACGGTCCAATGTCGTCTTTCCAAGTAATAAGTGGTACAAGTACCGAGTTATCGTCCACAGGGATTGTAGCCGAAGTTAGATTAGAGTCCAATGAAAGAGATGATTTCAGATGGCGATTTCGAAGACTTTTCTCTGATTTTAAGGTTATCTAAAACAGAATACAGAATAAATAAAAGAAGCAAGGGTGTGAGACTTAAGGTGAGACCCAAACACAAATTCCAGCAGCCAATGCTATAGGAATGTTATAGCAAGCAGTGTTCCGAAACTAAGTTCCACCATCTATTTTGAAGGCATTCCTCTCGGACTTCACCATCTCACTATCTTCTAGCTTTCCACCCATATCTCTATGTGGTGTCCGGTCCGAAAATAGTGACAAAATGGTGTTTTCAAAATATATGGATAAACAAATCTCTTTGTTAAAAATCACTCTCTCGAGCCGATTCCCATATCATTCGAGTTGGCGTGTTCTTGATATTTCATCTCTGAACATATCACACTTTGACACTTTTGACAAGCGACCAACCCGTCGGAAGTTACGTTTTGAAAAACATAAATGACAAGTCTCCTTGTCGGCAACTTTCTCAAGTCTACCTCTTATGTCATCCAAGTTGACGTGCTTATTGATGGCTTATCTCTAAGTCCATCGCACTTTAACACTTTAAAGTGATCAACCCGTCAAGAAGTGTGCTTGGTTTTATAAAAACTCGAATGAAACAATGGTATGTCGTTTTTAGAAACACTTAGCTACTTTCGTTCGGTTTKAAAATCTCACATTTTTGTCTCACACCCAAGCTATAAAAACTTAGCTACTCATAACGGAAAGTAAAAAATAAATGACGGAAAGTAAAGACATAAATGTAAATTGCGTAAAATAAATAACGATAAAGTAAATGACGGAAAAGTAAATAACGGGAAACGTAAATGACATAAAATAAATAACGAGAATGTAAATGACGGGAAAATAAATGACAAGAAAATAAATTGCGGAAAGTAAATGACGGAATGTAAATGACAATAATCGTAAAGGAACGTAAAATAAAGAGCGAGAAATGAAAGACGAGAAAGAAGATGAAAACTCAAAAACTCAAGAACTTGGAAATTTTTCTTCAAAAGCTCTCAAAATCAGCTCTCACTAGCTGATTTTGATTCTTAAGATATGATATTAGATGATGTTTAAACAAGTGCCCAAGCACTCCTATTTATACAAAGAGTTTAGCACAAAACAACAAAACTATTATCCAAAGGTTAATGACCAAAGTTTAATACAAAAGGAATCCTATGCAAAATATAATCCTTTGGTCCAAAACTTTCCAGATTTCTAAAATCTTCCAGCTGGCATCTGGCTGTCTTCCATTCAGCATCCAAAAATCAGCAGCTTAATCGTTAAGCCCTTGTCCAACCGTGTGTGCATCAGATGGGTGCTGCTGCAGTGCTGTAGCATTAGGCTGTTTTACAAAAAATTATCCGTTAGCTTGTATTTTCATGTTCCAACAAGTTAAACCACAATATTTTAGCTCCATACCAAAAGTAAAAAGAAATAAATTAAAATGACTCGAAGTGGGAACGATAGACAACAAATTTTAACTTAGAAAGACGTAAAACAGATGCATTATGTGTTGAATTCTCAACACATATCACCTGTTAATAGGGACGTGCATCGGACCGGTCTGGAAGGGTTCGGATCCGATTGGATTTCGGATATGTAAATCAAACTATTGGGTTTCGAATTTCGGATTACTTTGGTTTCCGGTTGATCGAGCTTCGGGTTAAGGTCGGTTGCTTTCGAGTGAGTGTGTGTGTGTGTGTGTATATATATATATATATATATAATCTGAACCCAAAATCAAATCCAACCTGAACTCAAATACCCTCCCTTTTTCCGGATTTTCGGATTTCTGGGTATTCGAATCTTGCATGGCTTTCTCGGCCGTAAAAGAACCTTCTAATTTCTATCTCGGTAGCTTCCGCAAATACCTTGTTTTCGGTTCCGTTTCTGATTTTACACACCCCAACCCGTCAACATATTTTAATATTTATAATTAATTTATTTATGAAATTTAATTACAAAAATTACATTGAAAATATAATAATATAGTTTTTCAATAAATTTAAATTCGGGTATTCGTGGATATTTCAATCCATTTAAAGTGGAAAAAATATATATATAAATGTCATTAATCTTGAAATTAAAATTAAAATTTAATGAATAAATTATAATAATTTTTTAAATAAAATAATATTTTAATATAATTTTGGTTAAATCAACAAGACTTTTTTTTCTTCTTTTGAGTTGGAAGTCTAATTTTGACTTTGCATTTAAGTGTTGCTTTGACCATCATTTTCTAGTCTAATTTTGGTCTATTTTTCACTCTCTTTATTTTTTGTATGTTTGGTTTATGGTTCGTAACGGGTCATAACAGTACAAAAACTTATTGTCACGTATACAGATATTTATATAATTAAGAAAGACAAAAATGTATTCTTTTGTCCCATCAAAACAGGTGGAATAAATATCAGGTTCATGAGATAAATTTGGTAAATTAATGATGTCAAATTAAAACCCTAAAACACTGCACAATTTTTTCATGTGTCCACAACACTCTCGCCCCATCCAATCCCATTTGCTTATTAAATGCACCCTCACAACTCTTAGGGGCTGTTTGGTTCATGGATTTTGATGAAATTGAAAGGAATTGAAATGACCAAATTCCAAATACAATGTTTGATTTGTGGAATAAAATTGATGGAATCCTTTCAATTCCAATAAATTCCTACACTCACAGATTTTACATTCCACGGCAATACCCTCGGATTTCAATTCATTTCCGACAAATTTCTTCCCTAATCCAAACTCATTCAACGTTGCGTCTACCATCTCATCTAATTGATTTCTGGTTCGATCTCCATCTAGTACGCTCTCTCTCTCGTAATTTCTCCATCTATACGAGATCGATTGACAACATATGTAATCAAGGAATCGATTCAAGATAACTAGCTATCGATATCACTAGTCCAATTCCGTTATTCAAAAATCATAAAAGGTCATTTGTTGATATTTAATTCCGATTCAAAAGTTGAATTCCATGAACCAAACAAAAAAATTCCAATCCGTTAAGAATTTCATTCCAATTCCATGCAACCAAACGCAATCACAAGCCATGATCAAATTCCATTCAATTCCCTCAAAGTCAAATTTATTTGATGAAATTCAATTCCATCGAATTTCATTCTACGAACCAAACGCCCCTTTAAGGTTTCTTTGGCCTAGGAGGTCAGAGATTCAAACTTCACCGAATGTGATAATGATGTGTGAGTTTATTTGTTGTATTTATCGTATATAAATATTATATACTTAAAAAAACATTTGTTTTGTCAAATACTTCTGTAGGTTGTGCTACCATGTCCTTATCTTTCAGTGTATTTGAGCCTCAGTTTAATTACCTGTAAATATAATATACAAGTTTTCAAAGCACCGTTTAGACTGGCTGAAAGTTTTAATTGGATTTGTTCAAGACTGATTTTTTCTCCGTAAAATACAGGTTATAAGTTTGGATATCATCTAATAAATTGCAAAAGCAATGGTGTTTGTGTGGTCAAATACCTTTTTTATCAGATCGTAAATCCTAAAACTCTTAATACTGTTACAAATATGTAAACTGTACTTAAGAGGTGAATCTTGTTTGGCGAATTTTTTTGTCTCTTAATGATTCTAAAACCCTCTGAATGATTTTGTATCTTGGGCTTCTCTTTAACTATTCAACACTCTAATTTCATTCTGAACAGTTATCAAACAATTATATTTTATTTTATACAATATTATAAGAACCTCTTAATTATTCTGACTACTTAATCATTATACACTAAAGTATTATATAACTGCAAAACAGTCCTAAGATTTAAGTCGTCAAAATTGCAACCGCAGAGTTGAGTGGCCAATTGAACCCCATAAATATTTAGATATCCATTTTTTATATTAGAAAATTTGTTTTTTTATAAATTTATTTCTTCTTTTAACCCTAAAAATTTATAAATTCAAATTTCGACCCTCGTTGTTAAAAAAATTGGATTCACTACTGTAAAACTGTACTTGAATTTAAACTTATCTAATAATATTAGAAGGTATTCGTACAATGCAACAAGATACATATCGATTTTACTGTTTCTTTGTTTTTTTTTTGTTTCAGTCGAATTATAATACGATTTCATGTGTTTTTGAGAAAACGATAATGTTTTTATTTTTAAATAAAATATAAATATGAATATATCATAAAGAATTGATTTTATACCGTTATGTTACAATTCGTTTGGATTTGAATTTTTCGAACATAAACCGAAAAACCGAACCCGAGCCTCGTAACTTCGAACCGAACTTAATTTTAACTGAATTTCAAATTTGATTTTTGGAATCGAATTCCGGGGTAACTTTTGAAAGGGTCATGGAGACCTTTTCATACTAATCGAATGTGAAAGCTTCCATTAATGTAAAGTTGGTGGTTGATTGTTGTTCATTGACTAATCTCAGGTTTCTTTGATTTAATCTTGAATATTTGCAAAAATTCGAAATTCTAATCCATAAGAACACAAACCCATGTCTTAGTTTCGTGCAATCATACATCAAGAAGCACAATTATTCAACGATTCGCTGTCAAATGAGTTCTTAAAGGTGAAAGATCTGGAAATTGATCTTGGGTTTTATCCTTATCACATGAAACCCTTACTTCATCTCGCAAATTTGGTCCAAAAATGTATCTGAAAAGCTTAGTAATCAGTCTGATCTTCCTTCTATCACCGCCCATCGCCGCCGTGGACTTCCTTTTCAACTCCTTCAACTCCACCACCGACCTCCAACTCATACGTGACGCTCGCATCGAGCCACCGGTAATTCGGTTGTCTAATGACTCCAATCAGTGGTCGGTCGGCCGAGCTTTCTACTCAACGCGAATTCAGATGCTCCGACCAGGCTCCGGCAACCTTACCTCCTTCTCGACCCAGTTCGTCTTCTCGATTTTACCTGAAATAAGCGCCAGCCCTGGTTTCGGCATCGCTTTCGTCTTATCCAACTCCACCGAACCCAATGGCGCAATCGGCAGTCAGTATTTTGGACTCTTCACCGGCGCCGCCGCCCGAACTGTAGCCCCCCTTATTGCGGTAGAGTTCGACACCGGTTTTAACTCAGAATTGAACGATACGGATACGAATCACGTCGGAATTGACCTTAACAATATTGCATCTGAGATGCAAGTTGGTGCCGGTTACTATAACTCTACCGGAAGTTTTATTCCGGTGAATATGCGAAACGGGCAAAACGTACATGCTTGGATTGAATTCGATGGCTCTAGATCGGAGATCAATGTTACTGTTGCTCCGGTGGGTGTATCTAGACCAATTCGGCCGTTACTCAGTTATCGAAATCCGATTATTGGTAATTACGTCTCATCTGATATGTTCGTTGGGTTTTCTGCTTCTAAAACCACTTGGGTTGAAGCACAGAGGGTTTTGGCATGGAGTTTTAGCGACACCGGCGTGGCAAGAGATATTAATACTACCAGTTTACCTGTTTTCTTGGCTCAATCTGGTTCGAATTCTGGTTTGTCGACCGGAGCTAAGGTGGGTATTATAATTGGTTCGGTGGTCTTTTTCATATGCCTGCTAGGTGTTTGCTATTTTGTCTGGCTGAAACACCACTCTAGGAACCAGGAAGATGAGATTGAAGATTGGGAGCTTGAATACTGGCCTCATAGGTACTCATATGAAGAGCTAAAAGAGGCTACAAACGGGTTTTCAGACGATGAAGTTCTTGGGGCCGGTGGGTTTGGTAAAGTTTATAAAGGAACGCTCGGCAACAAGACGGAGGTGGCTGTAAAATGCGTGAATCATGATTCGAAGCAAGGGCTGCAGGAATTCATGGCTGAGATCTCGAGTATGGGTAGGCTTCAACACAAGAATTTGGTTCAAATGAGAGGCTGGTGTAGGAAAAGAAATGAATTGTTGCTTGTATACGATTACATGCCGAATGGAAGTCTTAATACTTGGATTTTTGATAAACCGAAGAACGTTTTGGGTTGGGAAGGGAGGAAGAAGGTGCTGGCGGATGTGGCGGAGGGTTTGAATTACCTCCACCATGGATGGGAACAGGTGGTGGTGCATAGAGACATTAAGTCGAGCAATGTATTACTCGATTTGGATATGAGAGGTCGGTTGGGTGATTTTGGATTGGCAAAGTTGTATACACAAGGCGAGGAACCGGGCACTACAAGAGTGGTGGGTACCCTTGGCTATTTGGCACCAGAGCTGGCTATGCTGGCATCACCAACTGCCGCCAGTGATGTTTATAGCTTTGGAGTGGTGGTGCTAGAGGTGGCATGTGGGCGGAAACCTATAGAAACGTGGCAGGAGAGGGAGGAGGATATGATTTTGGTCGATTTGGTTAGAGAGAAGTATATAGAAGGAAAGTTAGGGGAGCTTGCAGATGGGAGAATTATAGGGCAGTATGAAATGGAGGAGATGGAAGCGGTGTTGAAGCTCGGGTTAAGTTGTTGCCACCCTGATCCGCAGCACAGGCCGTCCATGAAGGAGGTGGCAGCACTCTTGTTGGGAGAGGATACCACTGTTGATCCAGGAGTTTTGTTATCTGAGTTCTCAAGCAGCAAGAACAGCTATAATGGTATCCAAGAGAGCAAGACACAGGCATCACCATAACCACCACCACCACCGCTGCCGCCGCCACCCCCTCCACCTCCATTGTAACTATATCCTGCCCTCTCTGTTGTGTTATGTTTCAGATTTTGATCCATTTATGGTGGTTAGAAAAAGCTTAGATGATGTTGCCCTCATTGTTTTATCTATTGATACAATGAGGGCATGGGCATCCTGATGGTATATTTGTTTATTACATCAATACATCTTTGTATTTCTTGAAATTCTGTATTGTTTTCTTGCAAATTTGGATTGATTTATGGGTTTGTGGCAAAAAAGAGTACCAACGGCATCCCTATGGCCAATTACCTGATAGCAAGTTGATTCCAGTAGAAGAGTATCTTTTGGTTTCTTGTAAATTAGGGATGTTAATTGTTAGGTTGCATATTGGTTTCTTGTAAATCAGGGTTGTTAGGTTGCATTTTGCTTTCTTGTAATGTTTTGATTACATCTTATGACACTGAAGTAGTAATTTAAGGATTCATTGTTATTGTTGGTTGATCAACTTATAAGGATTCTTATAATCCGCCATTTGTTGTTGAATCATGTAATACGAAAGCAACGAAAAAAGCAAAAAAGATATAGAGCAAGGGGTAAAATGGTCACTAATAGCGACTTAGCATAATCCACACATATAGCTTAATCCATACAGGGTTTTATGGAAAAACAACCAAACAACCCCTTAGACAGATAGCACAAAGTCTATCACTTGATTAAAGTTAAAAGATACCTCTAATCTTTGTTCTTTTCTGACTGTCTATATCCTTAGCAAAATAAAGGTCAACTTCGGTTGCTGCAGCCGTGGACCCTACTTTAATCAGTCTCGTGTCCATACGATATTTAATCAAATAAAAACTTGTTAATAGACTCATGAACAATAGCGTAAAGCATATAACTTAAGTATGCACATTATTCAACCATGAATAGCTAATCTTGTAAGTCGACTGTTACAGGCTATTTTCTTCAAGATATTTAAGGACTTTAATTCCCTGTTTGGTTCGCAGATTTCTTTGACAGATTCCATTCCTTCAAAAAACATTTTGCGAACTAGATTCCCCCAAGAGTACAATACGTTCCTAGATGGATAAACCAGACTCCTATACTATAATCTAGGATAACTTATATTCTTGAAATCGAACAAAATTAGCTTGCATTGGTACGCTGATGATGCATACATTTCTAAAGAGTGAAGTTGAGGGAGTGGAAATTGAAGTGTGGCTTCTTTGTTTGACCATTTGTGGTTGAACGTTGCATACTTAACTTGCAGATTGAAGCTACGGACTCCTTCATTGCTTCGGGTCCACATACCAACACCCCGACGAAGGATCCACCCGTTTCATTTGGGAATCTTGAAAATATATCTGCTCAATTACATGTCACATGATTAGTTTATTGAATATATGAAGTTTGGGAAAAGTTCAAATGAGAAGCATATATTTTCTAAGAACTTGAGAACCAACTATTTCATGTATTATTCATTATGAATAGCCCTAAATAATCATGAATATTTTGCATTTTCATAATTCTGATATCATGCATTATTATCATGAATATTATGTATATGTTCATTATGATTATCTATCATGTCATTCATAGAGAATAAAGCATGAATAGTTACCAAAAGGTCATTGGTCTAGCTCTACCCCGGGTTTTTCCTAGGAGGTCAAGGGTTCAAACACCAAAGGTGAGGAGCGTGCTTGAGTATTTGTTGTATGTAAATATTAGAGGGAGGTTCAAGGAAACCACCCCCCCCCCCCCAAAATGAAAATTTAAAGAATACCCTGGTAACCATTCATCTGGATGATATGCACATGAAAGTAATTGACGTTGTTTCTTGGCTTCTATCACGTGCATGTTATGCACATGTGCATACCGGACAAATTATTTACAAAATACTTGTATGCACATGTGTATACCGTGCAGATAAATGGTTACTAGGTGTTCCTCAAATTTTCATTTCCAAGACAGGTCCTACTCTGTAGTTCTTTCACCTTATCAGGCTCGTAGATGGGCTCTTGGAACTAGTGGTTAACCATTTCTATTTTTGCGGTTTTCCACTGAACCTAGCTCGTAACTATTATATACTTAAGAAAACATGAATAGTTGGATCCAAGGTTCTCCAAATATTTGCGGTTATCATTTGAACCCGCCCGTATGAAGTTAACAGTACTTGAGAGTTGTAATTTTAGGCTGTACAAAGTGTTTAGGCAAATGTATGTAGCAAAGTTATAGGGTGTCAATCCAAGGCATAAATAACGTAAAAAGATCATACCTTTGAAGTCGGGTCTTGCTCCAAAGTTGACTTCATGTTCATCAACATTTCTGTTTGATTGAAATGAACTTGCTTGCATTTCTCTTCCGTTATGCTTAATGGCCATCGGTGGTTGCTGTTTCTTCAGATGCTTCAATCTCAAAACCAAAAACACGAGTGTCGTGCTGATGATGGATAGAGTGAAAGCACATATAAGAACAAGATCAACATATGATGACGGGGTTTTCTCTTTGGAAGAAGCTTTCTTAGTCTGAGGTTGGGGCAAGAAGATGTGGTTGAAAATGATAAGAAAAACAAAGAACAAGATGGAGGAGAACCCGACAGTAGCAGCCATTAAAAGTGAGCTCTCATGGCCATATGGTGAGTAACTTGTACACTCTGTGTGAAAGTTGACCGTTTCCACTTGTGAAAACTCGTTTATCAGTTCACTAATTGTTGCACCGGGTTGCACTTCTTGGGTCACATAGATTTTCAGCTTCAGATGGAAGTCTTTGGTATTTTTGTTTGCGAGAAGAGGTAGAACCGAATTTAGGATGCCGATACTATTTCGCTTCTTTGTGATGTAGATAAGTTGTATCTTTGTTGGGAAATTCTTTCTCCCGTGGTTTTGAGCAGACGAAATTTCTTGCAATATGCTCAGAAATGGTGTCACTCCTATTCCTCCGGCCACCAGAAGCAAACTATCGTATTTGCTGAGACGTCAAATTGAAGGTATACCATTATTAGTTAGATAGAGGACAACGGCAGGTTCATATGAGAACTGTAAATATTTTGATAACTTGGGAGGCTGGGGACCAAATATTATCAATTATTCATAATGAATATCATAATAATGAATATTCATCATGAATAATTCATGAGATAGTTGATTCTCAAGCTCTCAGAATATTTACGGTTCTCATTTGAACCTGCCCTTAAAGGAGAAAATACAATCTTTAGTTACAAATGATTATCCTTTTGTACCTTAGGAAGTTCGTTGATGCGGGTCCATATGGCCCTTCTACTGAAACCGGGATGCACCTTTGCACTCTCTGATCATGCCCACCAACCGGGATTCGTTGGATTATGTCATAAAGAGAGTTTGTCCATGATCCATCACATTTTATGATAACTGACATTGTATCGTCATCAACGCTCGAGCTTGAAGCTATAGTAAATGAATGCCATTGAAATTTGGAAATGCTCGGTATCTTTATGAAGATTATGCTGGTTGGGGTGTACTTCAATCCTGAAATACGACATTTAAAAGTCGGGTTCTTTTTTCTTCTTTAAAATCAATTTTTGTATTTACTTCTGATGAAAACGAGCGATAACGTGAGGGATTTTACTTGGTTCTTTTGGCAGTATAACTTCAACGGCTTTGAAAGGGAAGATTCGAGCAGAAAGAATGCATGTTTCCGGCCTTGACTGTATTATTCGGAGCAATCTCTCAATGGCAAAGAGAAAGATTGCGGGAAACACCATGTAGAAGTGACGGTCTCCGGTATGAAACAAGAAGAAGACTATGAAGACGGTGTACAAATGGTGTGTGTAGTAGAATAATTCAAACCTCTTTCTTCTCACTTGTGGAAGTGATGTGATCCCGATGACTAATCCCGCGATAAGAGCGATTTCGCCGGCCAGGTATATTCTCCCTGTTTTCTGCCATTTCCACACCTATTTACACAGTAAAGATCGACAAGAAGAGTGAGTTGTGCCTCCTTTTGGAGCGCCCCCACCGTACCGTTCCCTGACCATCACGGGAGAAGTAAATTGCGTGTCTAGGGGGGAGATGGGTGGTGACGGGAGTCGAACCGCAGACCTCCCACTCATTTTGCAAGGATGCCCACCTCCTTTCCCCTTGGCCAATTCCGTGTTGGGCTGTTATGTATGAACTTAGAGAAAATAGTTTATACTTACAGGGTGGGTTCATTTGAGAAACACGATAACCAATTATTCATAATGAATATCGTGATCAAATAATGAAAATGCATGATATTCATGATGGATTATATTAATGAATATTTGTATATTCATCTATACCATATTATAAAACATTTAGGTTTTAGTTAAAAACTCTTAATTTTTCAAGGGTACGACTTATAAAGCATTAAGTACAAATTATTAATGCATACAAAATCTTTCAATATTTAAAATATTTCTATTTTGTCCTTCTTTAAATGTTAAGGATAGAGTATTTGAAACCTCGACTGCCGTTCCCGGATACAAGGTAAGTCAACCAAATAAACAACATAATATTTAAGATTTTTGAAAACTTCATCTCACACTTATCCACTTCCAAAAAAGGAAAAAAAAATCAATAAAAAGAAATTTACAACAATTAAATTTTCGTTTTACAGTTAAATTTTATATCTTGCTACATCGCACACATACACTCCTGGTCAATGAATAATTCATGAATAGTTGGTTATCACAGTTCTTATATGAACTTTCCCCCACCAAGTTTGACTTTGTAGATTACACCCATGGCTTTTGAATTTCAAAGTCAATATAAACTTTGGCACAAAGTTCATACCAGCTTTTCCTATTTGTGATTTGTTAGAAAGTCCAATGTTTCTCACTAGCTTTCTAAAAGGAATGAATAGTTAGTATCATTATTGAAGTAGGAAAATTACTCATTTGACCTCAAAAATTTTGTAGAAAAACCGAAGAAATGAGGAAGAACAGGGTAGATTACCTCATCTTGAATCCGGTTTTTGATACCCCAGATGAATAAAGTGCCAACACCATGTAAAGTGGCGAACGATAGCATCATTATCCCGAGCCATATATGGTATTTGACAGATGCTTCAAACTGGATACCGAACAATCGGAACACAGTCATTCCCCTCATGATAGGAAATAGAATCAGAGCTAGACAGACTTCCGCTAGCAATCCACACCGTGTTGCCATCCTAAACATCTTATATTGCCATCTATAAACCAAATAAACCCAGTAAATCACACCTGGAAGTGGGGTGAGGTGGGGTGGGGGGTTGGGGGGTAGGCAGACCTGTCCTCTATCCCAAGAGGAGATGATAGCTAAGGGGCTGTTTGGTTGGTTTTCTATTAAGTCTTGTATGGATAAAGCTGCTTGTGTTGATTAATCTGTTTGTATAGATTGAGAGGGTTGTTTCACAGATGGAAGAAACGTGTTTTTAATTAGGAGGGACATGTTTGGGAAAAACTTGGCTTTCTATGTAAGGCTCCCTCCCGGAAGCTTATTGAATAAGCCACTTTCTATATCATTAAGCCACTACCATACAGTCATGAATGGCCGACCAAATAAGTTGTGAGTCCCATTAAGCTCATTTAGTTAGCTTTTTTTGTTGCAAACTAACCATCATTCTTGTAAAAGTTCAACAAAAAACTACAGTTTGGAAGAAAAAAAGTTATTTTGGACAAATTGTGGAAAAGTAGATGCAAGTACAAACTTCATGCATACCACATTTGTCCAAATCATTCTTTCTTGCAAAATGTAAGGGTTTCCTCCACTTTTACGGACAATCATTTGGATGCAACGAACCAAGTACAAATGGTTCAAAAAGTTGATCAGGGTCAGCTCAACCGGCAAATAAAGGCTAGGCTTTGCGGTTCGAGTCTTCTCAGGGCTACTGAGGATTTTCCTAGTTGTTATCTTCAGGATCCCGTGGGATTAGTCTAGCTGCACATAAGCTGGCCTGAACATCGACAATTACCAAAAAAAAAAAGAGGTAATCACTTGTTTATAATCTTAGTAACTCACAAGTTTAATTTCATTGATTTCACCGGCATCATCTTCTTAAAATCATTAGAGATGTGTATGCAGAACGTCCACGCTAGAAATATGATGAAGAAGGAGATCACAAGGACTTCCATGGCAGATAAAACACCGATGAAACTATTGACAACGATCGGATTGGACAGAGCTGCAATTGAACTCCTCCTTTTTCTGACATCCAAAGAAAGATCAAGATCACGCAAATTGCCTAAGAGGTAATTATCAACGATTTTAATCAACAATCATACTTTTTAAGCATAATTTACCTGCCATTCTGTTCCTTTGGTTTGAAATGCAAGTAGACAAATCCAATCATCACGGAAACGATAATAGGAAATGAGTAAACAACGAAATCAAGACCTGCAATTAGATGAGAACGTCGTTTATTTCTTGTTTTTTAATCCATTTATAGCCTCTGATTTCAAGATCTTACCACTAGAACCAAAAACTGTAGTTCTTGCAGCATCTTCAGCTGCTTTCCATTTTCTTGTCCATAGCTGTGTTGGTTTCAGAACCCAAATAGATACCCAGCCAAGAGCTAGTAAGACCATCAAAAGCTTGAGAACAAGAAGAAAAGGTTTCGCCATTTTCGAGCTAGATTCGGAGGCGGGTTTTGCAGAAATTGATGAAAACTAAGTTGGAGATTTGTTATATATATGGGTGTGTGTGAGTGTAATTAGATATAGATATAGATATAGATATAGATATCATTAGTACACCCCACCATTAGTATAGTTTGCACATGATATATATGATAATATTCAAATAATCTTATCATATTAATCATTTGTATTTCTTCCCATTATATTAGAATTAAGCACATGGCTTCTCTGCATCAAAATATCATGAATGATGATAGCATAGATTACTTTTATGAACATGAAGTTGAAGACGAATATCCGAATTGTAGACAAGATAAACCCCCTTGTCGTTTCTTTAACAAATTCTGATCTCTAGTGGACCTCACAGTAGGATTTGAACCCAGATAAAGTTTTGACCATTTGTTAGAGAAAAAAGAACGAACGGATCTTGTAGGACTCCCAAGAAGGTTTGTTGTTGCTCGCCAACAAACGGGAAGGGTTTGCAGTTAAAGAAAAGAATAAAATACTTAAAGTGCATTTGATTGAGGTGTTTTGAAACCAAAGCTTTGGACTCATATTATAGGCATGGAGCCTACTCCACCTTTTGTTGCTCTGTATGTGGGACATTCTTTCATGCTCAACAAACCATGAATCCTATTGTAACCACAAGGGTTGTGCCGTAGTGGTCAAGGCCCACGTGATGTGGAGGAATATTCCATCTGCTCTAGGTTTGATTCCAGGCGTCCACAATAATTGTGGCTACTGAGTTTATCACGGATGATGTCTTACAACCGCGATTTGCCGGGATTAATCCATGACACCCTTCCAAAAAAACCATGACTCTTGTTGCATTAGGGATTTGTATTCAATGCTTTATAGGTGTTGTATTCTTTCCCCATACCCTACCTTCTGGTCGGATATACTGGGTTTGTTTAGTTTGGTTTAAATCTCAGTATTCTTGAAATTTAAGAGTTTTACCTTAACTGCTACATAAGATAGTGAAACTGAATAAGGATTTCCCATTCGGGTTAGGATTCTAAGAATCTCTACCCGTATGCCTATATCTTATTCTTGCATTCCATTGCCCACAAATATGCACGAGTCATAGATGTTGTATTCTTTCCCCATACTCCACCTTCAGGTCAGATATACTGAGTTTGTTTGGTTTGGTTTAAACGTCAGTATTCTTAAAATTTAAGAGTTGTACCTAACTGCTATATGAGATAGTAGACCGAATAAGAATTTCCCATTTGGGTTAGGATTCAAAGAATCTCTACCCGTATACCGATATTCTATTATTGTAGTCCATTGTCCTCAAATACACACAGGTCCTACGGTCCTACCTACGACTACAATAGTGATCGAGTGTAAGAATAACGGTTTTGAATATTATGTCATGATATTTTCCTATTAATTTCCTTTATGATGTATTCATTTTGTAGCATAATTGACCAGCATCTATTTAATGGATTCTTGGTCCCCTCCACTTGTTATCACTTTACCTTTTGGTGTTTTCAATCTTTTTCATTGGGATCTTGATAGCAGCCTCATATTTAGTTACCTTTTAAAGACTTAAAACTCTGCAGATGCATCTTGTTGACATTTAAGAAACTTTCATATGTAGGAATCAGATGACGGAAACCTCGTTTTAGTTAAAAAAAAGGGTCGGTTCTTAGCCACGATGATCGTGTTTAACCTCAAGTGGAACGGAATTGAAGATCGTGGTGGTCCAGATCCATCTGTCATGGAGGTCCTCAAACTTCATTCAAATCTCTACAGGTTGCCTAAACCATCAACTTGTCCATAATAACGACAGCCATGAGACGCTGCTATTTGAACTCTTTTAAAAGGTACCCGGTTCTAGTGTGGTAGTGACGTACGAATGATGCTCGATCTTATAGCTTCAAACCATTTTGGAGTCAGTTTGAAACACGATGAATATGAAGGATTTTGATCCCTCCATCTTGTTGGAGTCCTACGTCAACTAGACATGGGGTATCAAACCTGTATTGCATATATATCGGAACTCCTCCTATTTGTATAAAGGATTCTTTTAGAAAGTGATTTAAAAGGGTTCCACGTATCTTTATATGGTATCAGAGCCGGGGGTTTAGCAGCACCTAGATCAGAGCCAAGGTCTAGCACCACCTAGGACACGAAACACTCTTCCCCCTCTGTTTGGAGGGGCATGTTAAAGTCCCACATCAGCTAGACATGAGCCATCGAACCTGTATACATGTATGAAATTCCCTTTTCTCTGTAGATACTCTTTAAGATACAGATTTAAAAAGGTTTTGATATATAGATAAGTGTTGGTTTTGTGCTGCTAATTTTATGGCATACTTTTTAGTGCTAATTTACAAGGACAGCACAATGGTGGTGGTAATGCTCTTATGGTGGGTGTTGTCAAAATGAAGACCAAAATAATTGTGGGGAGCACTATCAATTTTTGGTACTTCCTAATTAAGTGGAAGCAAATCTAGAGTAATGTTCAAAAAATCAAGATTTCTTGAAACTTCCATCATTTCAAAACCCTAATTTTAAAATTCCCAAATCACTTCGATTTGAACTCCGAAAAGATCCCATTAGCAGTCATGTCACGATGTATAACGGATAAACATCAAATTCAACAGCACTGTCTTTGATATCGCGTGAATTTTTTCACGCACTGAAACTTGTGGGGTCGTGATGTCGAACGTTGGTCTCTTTTTTCCATTGTCATTTTCAATGGGATTTACCCAAGTATAATATTTATATATGGTAAATAAAACAAATAAACTTACACACCCTCCTCATCTTTGGTGAAGTTTGAACCCTTAACCTCCTAGGAGGCCAAAGACTCACATATCGTTAGGTCAAAGACTATTTGGTGTTGATTACTGTTATTATTACAATGTTTTAAAGTCTTGAAGATATTGGATAATGCAACATGTTGGCTCTTGGACTTGTTGCATGTGCACAAAGCCTAACTAAAGTGGTCTATAATTGACTACCCATTTGACACAAACATGTAAGGATGAACCCAAAAGATGCTCTCTTTTCAAATGCAAAAGTGCAATTGCTAAAAGAGATCAAACCATGTTGCAATATTGATGGGTATGCCAAGTTCTTTTCGAGAACCGAGCTCGGTAAAAAGGATTATATCGAGCGAGAGGCAGGGAGATCGATCAGGGGCGGGTGTCTGATCCCCGACCTAGAAAAAAGGTTGGTTTGTTAATGTTTCGAATAGAATTGTATGAATTGCAATTTGTACAGTTTTATGTTGATTTGCCTCAAACGTCTGATTGCATATACACGAGTTTTATTCCCTTGATTTGTTGATAAGTGATGTATTTACCCAATATCTGATAATGGTCCATTTCGTTGCATCAAGCCAGACATTTTTAATTATTTCTCTTTCATTTCTCCACCTGATATCGTCACCCAAATAAAGGGTTTTGGCATAACAGTATCCGGTAACCCAACTTTTTTACAGATCGATGGTTTCAACCTCATCAAAAGTGGATGGTATGTATGAGTTCTATTTACCGTATATAAATATTATACACTAAAAAGGACAAAATTAACTCTGTGCAATATGGGTTTTCAAGTAAAAAGGTGAAATATCGTAAGAAGGTAAGTAAAAGAGGTTAAGGGAAGATTCGTTTGTGAATCATTGAAAAATCTATTTAAAGATGCATATATGAACTCATATGAAATTTGTAACATCAGTTCTAATATCCATCTTCATAATATTTTGCTGACTCCTACTAAATTATTAATGTCAAATTCGTTTGCCTCTGTCCCATCTGGTTAGGGGTGTGTAAAACCTGAATGGTTCGAGTTTTGAACCCGAACTAAAAATAACGTGTTTGTGAAAAACCTGAATGCCCTGGAATCTGAAAATTTGAAACACGATGTTTGAGGATATTTGGTTTCGGGATAGGTATTATGTCCACCCGACCCATCCTAAAACCCGAAATATATATACACACACACATATATATATATATATATTTTAAATATTATATAAATATATTTATGTATCTAATTATCCTTTGAAAATACTAAATCAGTCTGTCATACTCTTCTCTAATTTTTTACCATATATATCCTCCCAATCAATTAAATTCATTCTGAAAATTGATTGAATATATATATATATATATATAACTATACTCGAACCCGACCTACCTGAATCCGAACCTAAAGCAATCTAAATCCCAGAATTTGGAGGTTGGTTTTCTATATCGAAAATCCGACCGAACTTTTGATTTGCCCACCTGAACCCACCCTATGCACACCCCCTAGTTCAGTCTTGTCCGTTCTGTATACCAAATATGATGTATATGTATTTGCTTTTCTATATATATATATATATATAGGGTTGGGTTCACGTGAGACCAAAGGTTTTTCGTGAGATCCGTAAGACCAATTTATGTTCATTGATCAACTTTATAAGTTAATGATCTAACGGTCTAAATTGCACGATGGCAATTTGGTAATTATTAAGAAATCTCGTGGCGTTTATGAATGTTTAGATTGTCAGATTATAGATCTAATCCAAGGATTGATAATTGGTCTTACGGGTCTCATGAAAAACCATTGGTCTCACATGATCTCAAGTCTATATATATAAATTATAACAAATGAAGTATCGTGTGATAAAAGAAGTTATGATAAGAACCATAAGAAAATGTCTGAACCCTTGATAACTTTTAATATCATCTCATTCATAAATTGCGTTTTAGAAGGGAATAGATCTGGTACATCTCGATGTAACTCATTAGTGTTGACATTCAATTATGATTGATCCAAATATAGATATCTTTTCCTATAATTCTCGTCATAAATTCCATTTTTACCGAAATCCAACCCTAATATAATAATACGTATATATAATATAAAAAAGGAAAAGATAGAAAGAATAAGCCATTTATTTATATGAAAAAAAGGCATTGAAAGCAACGAGACAGATTTCATTTTTCAGAAGAAGCCACCGCCACCACTCTCACATACCTTTGTTTTCACCTCCCCCTCATTCTTCTGGTAGTTGTTGGTTATGGCAGGAGAGAGAATCGCCGATCATCAGATAATGGAGATCCAAGAACAGAACTGGCGTCGAGTTATGTCGCCGGAGATTGTTGAGCTTGAAGATCACGAAATTATAAATCACCGCACCAGAGACGACGTCGTCGTCGTCGAGAGTATCGGCGACGTTTTCGTTGCCGTCGGAAAAAACGATTTGGACGTCGTTAAATGGGCCGTCGATCATCTCGTTTCCGCCGGAGCTCGTCTCTATCTCGTCCATGTCTTCCCTCCCGTCACTCATATCCAGACTCCCGGTAACTCACTGTTTTCTCCCTTTGACCTTTTTAAAGTCAAACATGCCAAATTGAATTCACAACAGTTGTTACACCGATTTGTGTCGGACCGGGTCAACCCGCAAATATATTATATGATATATTTTATATATTGAATTTGATGGATGGTAAATAATTAAATATATTAAGGGGTTATGGTTTTCTACAAAAACACTTATCAACTTATTATAAGTCAGAAAGATTTAACTTCTTTAAAAATCTTTATTACCGGTTTGACATCGGTATAAGTTGTTTATCTAAACACTCAAAAGTGCTTATTATCGATGACACATTGGAATAAGTCAATAAGTTGTTTTCATAAGCAATCTCAAACACCCCCTAAATACGATTGCAAAAATTACTATAATTCCGTAGCTTATTACCAGCAATCCTGACCGGTCCCATATAAAAATTGTCCCCTAGTGACTACATGTAAGTAGACATTTTATAGCTGACTAAGCGGCTGATGGTAGCAGAGGGGTTTAAGCTCGTCTCACGTAAGATTCGAACATGTTGTATTTGAGTAAAATGGCTCCCGCCTTTTTGCCAACTGAGCTATATGCTCGAGGGCAAGTCTACTATATCCTTATAGGGTGTTAGGGTGCTTGAAAAAACCGAGATATTAAGGCATTAAAGTTGACTTTTTGGTGAAACAGACGAGTTATCAAGACTTTTTACAGTAAAGTAAAAGTCTGGATAGCTCGTCTTAATGAAACAAAAAAGAAAGAAAACCAAAATGAATTAAATATATTTAACTGTATCTGGCGTGTCAATACTTGACGGAGTTCAGTATCTCTAACGAGCATATCTATTTTCGTTTTGCAAAAGTTGGAAAGCTATCGAGAAGCCAATTAAGCAAAGATCAAGTCCAAATCTACGTAAACGAAGAGAATAATAAACGAAGAAGCCTCTTACAAAAGTACATACGCCTTTGCACGGACGCCAAGGTGCGTTTTGACCTTTAACATTCCAGAGCGATATAATGAAAAAAAGCAAATTGCATGAAAAAGTAACGAACTTTAATTCGATTCCTATATTGGGTAATGTACTGTCAAACTTCCATTTTGGTACCTAAGATGCAAAGTTTTAAACATTTAAGTACCCGGGTAACCGGTTGAAGCATTAACCGGTTACCATGCTGATGTGGCGAGTGGTGTGGTATCCAACTCCGTATTATTTGTTATTCAACCCAATTTCATCTCATCACTCACCACATCAGCATGGTAACATGTTAATGTTTCAACTGGTTACCCGGGTACTTAAATGTTTAAAACTTTACATCTTAGCTACCAAAATGGAAGTTTTGAAAGTACGTTACCTAAAATAGGAATCAAGTTAAAGTACGTTACTTTTTCATACAATTTGCCGAAAGAAAAAACTATTATCATCCACAAAATTCTTATTAATCTGAGTGTCCGGTGGACAGGTAGCCGTTGAAACAATGCTTCTCGAAAGCAATGCCACAACCAAGGCTATCCTCGATCTGATCCATGTCGTCAACATTACCAAACTTGTAATGGGAACAAAACGGGCGCCCTCGTTGAGGTAAATTTCCGAAGTCTTGTCGTAAAACACGAAGACGGTAAAAAAAAGTGTGACGGTTTAATGTTTTGTAGGCGGTTGCGAAAGGGGTCCAGCAAAAGCGAGCTCGTAAAAAAGAACGCACCGGATTTTTGTGACGTTTCCGTAATTTATAACGGGAAACCGGTGATGGCTGATCAGCAACGACATGTTGTTTCAGACATCCCTACAACGAGTCAAAACGGACTGAAAACGACCCCTTTTTCGTCTGAACGGAAATTCTTTGAGTGTGCATGTTTTTCTAGAAACTTCGATTCATAGGTTTAGATTATGAATGTAAGATCTATGGACGAGCATTCATGTCTATTTAGAGTTGTTGATTTGTTATACAAATAGAAATCTATTGTCTTTGTTCTCTAGAGTTGATTCGTAAATCTGTTAGGTTCCGTTCGGTTCGCAGATTCTAATGGAATTGGAATGTTGAATTCTATTGACCAAATTTTATTGCCTCGTGTTTGGTTCATTCTTTTTCATAAAAGGAATCTTCAAAATTCTACAAATAAAGGAATTTAACATTCTTTAACAACTAAATGGTATCTTCATGGAATAGAATTATTTATCTTTATACTATCAAATATGTCATTAACCCAATATACCATAATCTCATAAAACTCAATATGACCACCGTCGACCACAACTATCTGAACCATTGTCGACCATCGCCAATTGAACCATCGCCAACCACTACCGAACTGAACCACCGTCGATTTGAACCACTATCGACTATCGTCATCTAAACCACCACGGACCATCATCGATCTAAACCACTGTCAACTACTGCCGATCTGAACTACCGTCGACCATCACCGATCTAACAACCACCGATATGATCCATCGCCGATCTGAACCACCGCCGCTACCGTTGATATGAACCACCATCGACCACTTCCATCTGAACCATTGCGGACCACCATCGATCTGAACCGCCCGACCACCGCCATCTGAACCATTGCGAACCACCGTCGATTTAGTAACGTCGTTTGGCTTATGATCATATTTAGGTTGTGTATTTAATATTGTTTTACATATTAAATAATTATTTTATTAAGATATTTTTAGTTTTAAAAAAATAAGAATTTTCAAAAAAAAAAAACATTTTGGTCATTTCGCAATATTTCATTCCAATTCCAAAGCTACATTATGTGAATCAAACAGAAATATTACAATTCTTTAACAAATTTCATTTTAAGCTAAATGGTGAATCTTGTTTTACAAAAAAATATATGTCTCTTCATGGTTGTAAAACTCTCTGAATGATTTTGTATCTTAGGCTTTCCTGAACCATTCAGCACCCTAATTTCATTTTGAATAATTATCAAACAATAATATTTCTATTTACATTATATTATAAGAGTCTTTCAATCATTCTGACTATTTAATCATACTGTACCGTATCATTTAGAGGGTGTTTGAGATTATTTATAAAAATAACTTATTGACTTATTTCGGTGTGACATCGATAATAAACACTTTTGAATGTTTGGATAAACAATTTATACCGATGCTAAACCGGTAATAATTTTTTTTAAAAAATTTAAACAATTCTAACTTATAATAAGTTAATTAACATTTTTATAGAAAAACATAAGTTGTCTCGTATAAGCATCCAAACACCCCCTTGGTACCATGAAAGGCATCAACATTTTTTTACTTAAAAAATTCAAAACGGTGCGTTTTGAGTGGGTTATTTTAACGAATTTAATTGGGCTCATTTTATTAGAATGGCCCTTATTTGGTTCATAAAGCCCATACAATCTGGCCCATGAATATGCACACTCATATTCACATGTACGCTATAAAAGCGAGCTAGGGTTTCACTTCTTTCGCTAGACTGAAACTCAGGGTTTCTGCCGCCGTCCTCCACCGGAATTCGCTTAAAAGGTATGTACACCGGCTGCCGTCGTTGTTAGTTTTTGATTTCTCTATGCATTATAATCTGGCAATCTATCCAATCGTCACCGATTTAGAATTTAGAATTTATACTTTATATTGTTAGTATTGCATTGAAAGTCGAAACTGAATCGGTGGATTTCTTCGATTTTTGTGTTTTGTTTGCAGAATATTGATGTGTATGTATGCGTTGTATACTTGTGAATTGGAGTTTTATTTGCAGAAAAGTGATTTGTGTGTATGAGTTGTGTATTTGTATGATTTTGAGTCCGATATTTGTGATTTATTGTTGTTTATAGGGGATAATGACGACCAGATTGAGGAAGAACAGGAAGAAGCGCGGACACGTGAGCGCTGGTCATGGTCGTATCGGAAAGCACCGAAAGCATCCCGGAGGTCGTGGTAACGCCGGAGGAATGCATCATCACCGGATCCTGTTCGACAAGTACCATCCTGGTTACTTCGGTAAAGTCGGTATGAGGTATTTCCACAGGCTCCGGAACAAGTTCCATTGTCCTATCGTGAACGTCGACAAGCTCTGGTCAATGGTGCCACAGGACGTTAAGGAGAAGTCTTCAGCCGACAAGGTCCCCGTCGTCGATGTCACTCAGTTTGGTTACTTTAAGGTGTTGGGAAAGGGAGCTGTGCCTCTGACTCAGCCTATGGTAGTTAAGGCGAAGCTCATTTCGAAGACTGCTGAGAAGAAGATCAAGGATGCCGGTGGTTGTGTTGTGCTCACTGCTTAGGTTTGTTTTCAATTTTCAATGCCAATTATGATTATTCCTGTTAGTTTTATTGGCAGAGTACTTTAATTTTGCTGAATCTGAACTTACATTTTATCAACAACATTTTGTTTCAAAATTCTACAAATGTGTTCTACAATGTGCTCATCTTTATGGCTTAATCGTTTTGAACGTAGAGGTTGATAATTGCTGATGACTGATGGAAACATTTCGGAACATTTCGATCCAAAATTTGATATTGTTTTTCCAAGGTAAATACAGCCATGGATTTCTTTGTGGAAGTAATACTTGGTTGGCTTCTTGGGTTTGAGTCTTAACACGAATCAGATGCTTTAACCTCCATGTTTAATTTGTCGATCTTGTTCTTTCTTGATATAATAAGTTGTCATATGCATTTTTCACTAGTTGAATTCAAGCTCAAGTGGTATTGTGGTAGATATCAAGCTTTGTAGACCTAATGATAGGTATCCCATAAACCTGATGGACTGATTACCCAACCCAGAAAAAGGGTTCGTAAACCCAGCTCAACCCGACCCAGACTTGAATTCAATACCAAGTCTATCCGATACAATGACACAACAAATTCATACGGTAACACATTTCCCGATCTTATAATTGTTTACACTACAACGGAGGAACATCCCGAGTCGGTTGGGTCTGAAAAGAGTACAACCTAAATCAACTGAACCCAATGACACTGGTCCACAAATGGGTATTATCACACAACTGCACAAGGTCTTGTTTTTGTTTCGGTACCGGTTCCCGACTACAACTCTACCAATGACCATATACTTTTTATAAATGACCCCATCATCACCACATTCCTTTGTAGCAAAACTAGTTGGGATGGGTCGGGTTGATATAGGTGTGGGCTTAGAGCAGAATTTGAGGCAGAATTTAAGCAAGTCGAAGTCAGGTTGCAAGTTAATCTGTCTCAGTTTCGAAGGATACTTCTAGGCTCGAGTGTGGTGAACCAAGCTCAAATAACTTTTTAATAGTGGGCTCGAGCTCGAGCTTGAATATTTTTCAATGTTCGAGCTTGATTAACTCGCTTGTTGACTCGACTTCAATAATTTTTATACCTTGATTGTATGCTTTATGAACATGCTTGGCTCCGGGAAAAAATGTGTGCTTGAATGGCTCGATTTGATTCAAAAAATTTAATATATTTTGGTAGAGGTAGTTTGTGATATGCAAGTATACATGACTATATTTAAAGTGGTGGATCCAGAAAACTTTTAAAACCGAATGATTCGAATTATAACAGTTTTGAGTTATTTGTTTCCGGCTTAAAGGATTTAGTTAACCGAATAACGATAACTTATTCGGTTTTGTTTTTCGCTAAACTTTTTACTATTTTGGTTAAATTGACACATTATATTACTATTTGTATATTTTTTCTATTCCGTTCAAACTTTAAGCAAATAATACATTACACGTTAATACAAAATTCGTTTGTGCTTTATCTAAAGCCAATAACCAAAATGGAGAAGGAGAACTAAGATATCGATTTCCAAATCGGTTTTAGAGTTAAGGGGAAGTCAAGTAGAGACGGTCGTTTGTGGTCGTTCGGTTGATATCCACTGTCGGTTGTGTCTATATATGTTGCGAATTGACCGGTTAAAAAATAGGATCATGACATCAGGTTAGGGGGTCTTTGTCGTCTTCGTGTTGGGGGAATAATACCTGGTAAGTGCTTACCAATCGGAGTCAACACTATAATTTATTTAGATGCGCAAGATTTTAATACATCAAAGCATATCGAATGCAACAATTTACTAAGTAAGTGCTTACCTGGGTAAGAGTCGTCATCCTCACTTACCGACCGGGTAAGACTCTCCATCCTTCTCATTGCTCTTACCCGGTGAGATTCTTCGCCTTTCTCATATTCATTCGATGAGGAAATTTATGTGTTAAGCACTTACCAAGTAAGTGTTTAGTAAACACTTTTATAGCTTTGTTTTGTTTTTTTAATTATGATTTTAATAAATAAAAAATAATTGATTAGTTTTTATAGTTAAAAAATGCATGATTATGTTCAAAATATCTAAAAATATAAGACATTCTTATTTATTTATATTTTACAAATTATATTATAAAGATGATTATATTTTAAAACGAATTATAAATAAAAATATTGAGCATCTCACGACCATCTTGAGTCCAGTATTGGGTAACTTGACTTGATTCGTTAATATGTCAAGTCGATCTCGAATAGCTTGCAAGTTATCTCGTATCGTTTACACCCCTAGGGCCTGAGATCCCTACCAAGCATGTGTGAATTTATACGAACTCGATATGAAATCTCATGGATTTTTTTTGATTTACGCAACTTAAATTTGTTGGTATGTAGTTGTAGTTTTTCATTCACAAGTTTTCCGTTTTGGTTATATCCGGTGTTATTACGAGCCTACTAATCTCAGGACGATCGTCCGCGGAGTCACCGTATTTGTACTTCCGTGACCACAATAAGATTTTTGTTCCTCCTTTGATTTGAACCTGCGATCTCCAGGGACTTCAATAGTATAAGCTTTTTACAACGATTTATAACTAGACTTAACTAGCAAAATAAATATATAAAGAAACTGAAAACATCTTATATTGAAGTTCATTATGTGTTAAAAGGTAAAACTGAAATTTGGTACTGATTCTTACCCTCAACTCCAACTTTCGTTACTAGCTGTTATAATTTTACCATATCAATTATGTAATATAATTGGACTGTTACGACGTATTATTGAACGTGACTCAAAAATTTCAATTACGTATTTGTTGATACTTGCATCAAGTCATGTTGAAGCAGACACTAAAAAATAAACCGAGGACGGGATGTTATCCCCGTATCCATCGGGGTTCGGGACCGAGGGCTGTTACTAAAAACCAGGACTGGGGCCGGGGATTATAAAACCCGCCCCGTTGCCATGCCTAGTCATGTTGAAGCAGACACTGCCTTCGACAGGTTCGGGTCTTCGTTGGTTTTAAAATCTATGTTTTCAGAATCAAGTTTCGTCTAATACAGAGTTTAAACTATAAAGAAAGCTTATAATTACCTTTAAAAAAAATAATTGGAAGCTCAGGGGATGTAGTAGAAATCACATTTCCCCCAGTTTCGAATCCAGACGCTGTCAAATCCCATATGACCATAGAGGTTCACCTGCGATGACTCCAAACCATTCCCGATCGCCCAAAAGATTAGTCAGTGTACGTACACTAGTCCACGTACCCACGATTACCAGAAAAAAAAAAATCCATTCTATCGTCTCTACTTCAACAGCTTCATCCTTGTATATACAGACAACATAATCAGCGTCAACGATACTTCTCTTAAAAAACTAAGTCGGGTAATTCGCTTACGTGCATACTTCTGTTGTTTAGTTATCAAAACATTCATAAAAACCCAACAAACAATTCGTAAACATCAGCATCACAGATATAAATAACGTTAAATAAGTTATTGTTTAATTTAGGATTTAAAAAAAAGTAGTGATAGGGAATTGAAAGCAAATAAAAAGTAGAAATGCATATCATATGAAGTTAAAGAATGGTTGGAAATAAGAGAGGTTGATTATTTATAAGTAAGCTTTCATGTCTTTTTATCATTTGGGTGTTTCTTTCCTTTTATAACTTCAAAGGGGGG